GCGACGGGTAGTACATACGGAGTACGTATCCTATGACTTGCCCCGCTATAATTCGGCCAAATTGCGCGGCCGAGCCTAGGCATGTTCATACTAGTCTGGAATCCTTCCGCGATTCCTGTGTCTTTCAAGACTTGTCACAGTCTATCGTGACATCCGGACGCATCATCTCATCCTGATTTAACCTCTACCGAGGCTAATCTGTACTAGACTGTCACTCTCAAACTCACAGTGGTCTCTCGAGACTTGCGACCGCTCGTCGTGCCAATCGTCGTGCAGCGGAAAAAGGCAAATCAATAGAGATTTGCTAGCGCCATCTATCATTTGATGCGCTTAATGCAATCTAAATAATGTCTGCCTATTGGAGGGGCTTACACTTTTAAGGCATATGGTAGGCTAACCGTCCGTAGCATAGTCTACCTCTAATGGCTCTAAGAAAGCCAGAGTGGATAAGCATATTTCCTAGCTATTGATTACCGCATTAGCGCCTCTGGTTCAAATGTTAACTCTAACAGCACCCCTGCATCTCTATGCAACAAAGTCGTCTGTGACATATCCACTGTCTAGTGCATCGTAGTGTTTGTCTACTATCTAGCAGCCCATACAAATCATAAATAGCTGGCGTATTACGTCTGTGCCATGTGGAGCCAAATAAACGAATTCTGACCATTGCTCTCACGTATCACGACGTATCACCGATAGAAGTCCGCATCTTAGTGGTAATCCGTAGGTACTGTATATTAAACAGGAGCGAGAAGTCGTTGTAACGAGACGAGGAATCCATTTTACCTTATCAGCACATGGTATCCCACACGAGAATGAGAATTTCCTAGAAGGCCTTCTACCACCAGTTTCCTCACTGATCAAAAAAATGCGTCCTACGGCTTTCTTCCACTGTCTCTTGATTGTGCCAGCAATCACTTTTGGGTTGGTAGTTGGTGCTCCTGCAGGTCGATCCGACCATGTTCTCGGCAAAAGGACGACGACGTACGAGTGCGATGCGCCTTCAGTCGCAGCTTTAGACGCTGCATTCAGCGAAATGAAATTAATGGTCTAGTTTTAACCATACATCCGAATGCGATTGCTCAAATTGACGGGAGACCATCTGACTAGTTAACCTCGGCCATTGATCGGACTAGCAGTCTTATTACCTTTCTCAACAATCCGCCAGGCGATGCTACTTCAACTGGGCAGCTGCTAAAGTCGACGTTTAATACCTTCGAGGCAATCTTTGGGAAGTTGGAATTTGGTGCAGGAAACAGCGCAAATGCCGATGCAATCTCCAGGGTGCAAACAATTCTCAGTATGCCACTTTCAAAAACAAATGTAAAGTATTCGTTCATGACTGAGCTTTTCAAGACCTAGCTACGGTCATGAGGAATGAATTGCAGGTTATCAGCTCAAATGACTATCTGGAAATTTATTGCACTGATTACTGGCTCGTGAGCTCATCTCCTGATGGCACCATAAGTGGTAAGACGCGACCTTTTCGCTCGACCTTATTCTATAACTAGACTAACTTCCTGCTCTGACAACTCACAGAGACAAATCCTTACTTTTATTGGGATAATCGAGACACAAAGACAATGCCCCTGGGTATAGACTTTACAATATCAAACGGGATCTGCAGAGACGATCAATCTACTCATTACGCTTGGGTACAACCCGAAATGTCTTCAAGCCAAACGACATTGAGAAAGACTACTGTTCTCACCCTGTGCCCATCTGGTCTTTCAGATTGGGTGTCAAAATACCAAGCAGGCGCGACGATGACCTCCTATAAAACAAAACTTTGGACATCATCGGACGGGGTGACCCTCAATGACTTCCAGGGCGGAACTTTGGGTACATTGAGCACGGCTTTGATGCATGAACTTACTCATGTCCCAGCCATAGTGGGCTCTAATTATCTAAGTATGCCTTCCTCCATCCCTGATGGTCCATTCGCGGACTATAGCTTGGATTTACTTTTTTACTAACTGCTGATATATGAAAACAGATGATGGGTCGTGTGAAGTAAATGGAAGAACGCAGTCCGCCTATGGTTGGTATTGTATTACGCAGCTTGCGGTGTCAGCACCGAGCAATGCTGTACAAAACGCAGGTATGACATTCTGAAACAAAGGCATAAAGATGTTCAAGTTGACTGACTGAGTGCTACTTAGATTCGTTTTCATTTTACGTTACAGGTGAGTTGCTCGAGGCGACCTATTCTTTTCATAAGCATGCTAATGAGTGATAGCCATGTATCTGTCAAACTACGATTGGTCGACTGGTATACCAGTGCTGATGCTAACAGATTCCACCCCTTGGTATGAAGATGGTCTTGCAGATTTAATGTCGCGCGTCACACTTGACGGCTAAAATCGCTCGATTGACTTGAAATTTTCCATGGGATGTTGGCTGGCTTCGGAAAAGCTTTAAATGGTGAAATCGGTTGTCGAGTCCTTGTCCTTTGCTTTCAAGTGTGCTACAGGTGAAGAAAGAGGGTAGAGAGGAAGAGGCTCAAGGAGCTATGGAACGCATTACCATTACTGTCCATGACAGGTAATATTTACTCCTTATATTTTGAAGCCTCCCCTCTTCCGTGCTAGTATCTTTCAGCAGATTGTTTCGCAACAATTAACAAATTGTACTCCGTATGGGTTCAACACATCGCACGGAACTACTCGTAATTAGCCCCAAGTGGGTCCCGTTAATATTTAAAGTTCTCGAAGGGCGCCGAAGCCAGATCCAGGCTAGCGGTAATACGTGCTGTACTTTACCGTTCAGCGAAATACGTAGTACGGTATCAATACGTATCTGTGGCATAGAACTAATGTTGGAACTAAAACGGTAACCAAAATACCACTGTACCAAAAAGGAGATCCCCTTAATGGGTCTTTTTGGTATTGGTTTGTAACGGGTGCGAACGTTCCATATTCGCCAAATATCACGTGATTTATTTCTAACCATTAAGAACTGGGGACGCCCCCCTCTTTTATTCTCTCTGAAATCACTAATAGTCCCTGAAACCTTCAGTAGACTCAGCAACAATGATTACTGAATACTACGTACTTAAGAGACCCCGTCTCGTTAATATCGTCTATGATTCGAAGGAAGCAAACCACCTACCGACTATTCCGGTGCTTAGCATTCTCCAGTTCACGTTTCACTCTGGGGTTGACGTCTTAGATCCATCGCAGCTGGGATCTCTACTATGGCGAAAGTCTTTAAAGTACGTCTCGACAATTCCTGGTTTTCGGAGCTTGTACTGGGCCCCGAAGAATTCTGCTCCCTCGTTTGATCAGCAACAAGTTATGATTGTCTTGGTTCAGTGGGAAAGCGGTCATGGTTGGAAATTATTCCAATCCTCACTGGGATTCAGCATGATGCTCGGTTATATCAAAGATATCTCCAACCGCTGTGTCCAACTTGATCTTCCTAATTTCAGCCACTTTGGCAGCCTTCTCGAAATTGTCTCCTTCCGGTTCTCGTCTAGTGTCAACACTGATAGAGAATCGGATTTCATATATAAATGGAAAGAGACAATTTCTCCGCTCCTCAACGATGAGACTACCGGGTCTGAACTGATAGATTGTTGTGGACAATGGCTTGAAGCAGACGAAGCATCCGAAGATCGATTCTTTGTTGGTTTGCTCTTCTGGAAACCGGATACCTGGGCAAATCATCAACGTCAATCCCGAGAAGCCAATATTCGCAACCTAATAGACCAGATAACAGATCTTACAACAGATGCAACAGCTGTAGTCTCAGTCTTCACAACCCAGCTTAATCATGTGGTTCCCGCAACTCCTACGTTACAGCTATCGAGTCTTCCTTCTGACTCTGTGCAGTCTCAAACAAATCACCCAATTTTCAAAACTTCTATAAAGCCCGAATACAACGTGAATGATTCCACATATTCAGGGACGCTGGACCTGATCCATGTGAAATCTGTAAGCCAAGCGAGGAAAAACCCTCCTGAGCGTATTGCCTGTGGACCTGCTGGTAATTGGTGCCCCATGGGAATTATTTCCCAGCATCATTTACCCCAGCCAGGACAATACGGCACGGGGACTCCTGGAATGGAAATTATCTCTTTCCGCGGCCGGGCTGACAATCCACGGATAAAGAGTTCATTTGAACGTCTTCGACAGAAACTCTGGGATTCGCTAGGAGATTGTCCAGGAATGTTCTGGGGCAGGGCTAAGGACAAAGAAGGTGATTTTGACAAAATTTCACTATTCGTTGGTATGTGTTGGTTCTGTGGCTCGCTAGGATATTGTTTATAATAACGTCGCAAAGAGACCAGAAATCGGAACAGAGAGATTCGCAAACAACTTCAACGGTCCATTCAAGAATTTTCAAAGGAATGTGGCGATAATATACAAGACTTATCTACTGGAAGGAGTATCAGCATAGATTGCAGTCGTCTTGCTCCGAATATGGATGTCACTTTCTTTGAGGTCTCGGAGAACGAAAGAGATCAAGAATCATTTGAATATGCATTTTCGAACTACGTGGAGTGCGTTATCATAATCTCTATTGTTTTGACAAAATAAGTGTCGACTAACATGCCAATGTATAGGACTACGCATCCCAAACTAGTGTACGGAAGGTACTACAATGCTGTATCTAAGGTGACATGCCTGAGCCGTGGATGGGTCACCAACCATCAATCTCCATCAGGTCAAAGCGAGCAAGACAGGACGATATTGCAGTTCATGTCCGTTTTCACTTACGAGAAGGAAGGCGCTGGAGAGGAGTGGTATAACGACTTTGCCCAACGAGCCCAAACCCAGTATGATCTTTTGGGTCATATTGTCGACTGGATCCGGACTTTATCCACGCGTATCACTATTCAACGTTTCGCCTTGGAGAAACAAGATTCTTGGATGACTATATTGAGAGAGGAAAAAGTGAGGCAGACGTATCCGCCAGATCTGCTTGCGTTATTACCACCATTACCACCAGTGATATTACCACAGTCTATTCAGTCTATTCCTGAGCGGCCGCCTTCGCCACCACCACCGTCTATTTTTGACCTTCCCTGGGCTAAGCGGCAAGGTGAGTCAAATGAAAGAAAATGAGCAATGTTTATTCGATGCGAGAAGGAGGGTCAGCTGCAGATTAACCCTATACTACGCGGTAGTACTAAGGTGCGCGTAATAGCGCCTCAAATCCAGGCTAGAAATTCCTATCGCAAGATTCATGTATATATACTATATAATTATGTTTTATATTTTTAATAAAAATTCAGATCCTAACCTTGAAGGCCAGTTAGTGTGAGATTGGCCGCGACCATATTCGAAATCCTGTCCTTTCCTTAAAGGGTAATGTCACCTATGCTTCGTGATACAGCTTGTAGCTAGACCAATCAGTTGACAGATATCGAGACTTATTGCTCAGCTTACTATGGCTTAGGCATCCTCGTCTTCTGTGTCATCGCCCAGCCAGTCACCGAATTCATCTAATGGATTAAAATCATCTTGTTCATAAGATGGGTCTTCGTCCTCCAAAGTTATATTTTTTAGTGGATCATGTACTGCGTCTTCTTCGAAGCGGGCTCAATTGAATGTTTCGGTTAACTAACCATATCCTATTGCGTTTAAGTAGGCGAGGAGACGAGTCTGAGATAGACTGTCGAGTTGGCGGTTTGTGGCTTGTCATGTCTTCTTGAATCATCGCAGAACTGATGGATAAGTTTACGAAACCAACACTCTCTGTGATTAGCACGCTTCTCACTCTGAGACACTAGACACCATACCTCTTCTTCGATGTCCTGAAATTTTCTTGTCCTTCGCGCCTCATGAAGCTCTTTGACCTTCTCAAGGAAATCACGCAGCGAATTCGTAGCCAGTGGGCTACGCAAGAGTACTATACGTGAAGTATAAAAGGCGGAGTCCATTGTCTAGGGTGTCAGCAGTCAACTTTCACGGAGCTGAAATTGGAAGAGCATGATGATGGTGGATGATGAATGCTCTATTTTAGGGTCATACTACGCGGTGATGTTGCATGGTCGGTAGGCGCCTTTCATACCCAATTGGATCCAGAGGCTATGGCTACATCTCTGTTAATAGTCCCCAATAACATCTCTTCAATGAAGTGACTCCTGGATAGCGTGATTGCAGGCTCGCAGCCATGATGCTTGCTCTGTAGTCTCTACCTCAGGCTAGAGGTCATGAGACACGTCTACGGGTCAAGGCATTATCCGTTTGGAAAACCTCGCAAATTAGAGTGCCTTGCAATGGAAATATTGCTATATATTGACTCCAACGCATCCATGTTTTCCAAATTGGATAATCCAGGCTGGATTGTTGATGTCTCGATGGAACACAGCCTGGTTTCAGTCCTGCACACGGTCCTCCTGATCTCATGGCTGAGGACGCAGGACCAGTCATTGCTGTCGTATCGCTGGGCTATCGACATCACATCGCATTAGTAGCGTGATGGTGTCCAGCTATTCTTAGCCAGCCGGCGGAGCTGCTTCTCGGGCCTTTGTAGATTCGATGCTGCCACTGGTCCAGAATGCTCTGGTTATTCCCCTTTCTGCCAGCTCAGCCATGGTGACCCGTCAAGGTAGCAATGGGCATGATCATGCATGATAAGGAGGCATTGACCGGACCTCGGCCATTTCTTTGTCCAATGACTTTGGGTATATAAAGCCTCTCAACACCCGCCGGGTGTGTTGTGCCTCTTGCGCTCAAATTTTCACTCCCTCCACATCCACAGCACTCTCACCATGGAAACTCTTCAACCATCTTCTCCAGGGGCTGTGGCGAGCGAGCGATTGGAAAACCCTGTACGAAGGGCAGAGCCTTCTCATCAAGGGACGCAAACTTTTATGGACTCTCCTCCATCAACTCTTTCCCTGGATGAGTCGCTGTTGTGCAACACTGAGAACGCCGCAGAGTCCATCATCGTACTAGACGATGACGACGAGCAAGCTCAAGCTACAACATCGCGGCCGCGGCGCGCAAATAGAAGGCAGCTGGACTATAGCTACCCAGATTATGAACATCTGATGAACGCCGTTGCCGCACGTAATCCTTCACGCAAACGGAAGAGGCAGAAAGATTCTGATGCCCTGTCACTCGAATCTATATTGGTATGTATATTCTGAACATGTTACCTATGTTCCTTTTGGTTAACACTTGCTAGGATCAATTTTCACAAGATGTTCGAGATCAAGGTCAAGCGTGGATCAGCGAGATTAAGGATCTTCGATTTGCGCTAAAGATTGTATACGAGCAAAAAGAAGACCTTAAAGAGAAACTACGTAGGTTAGAAGATAAATTACATGCGTCAGAGTAGAAACTACGTGCATCAGAAGAGCAGGCACAGAAGCTCCAACATGCTCTGGATAAACGGAGAAACCTCAAGTACATACAGTGTCGAATCTGCCATGGGTCAAAGGAATACTGGCGCATACTGGGCTGTGGCCATCTGTATTGCACTACATGTATAAGTGGCATGAACGCGGTTGAGCCGCTATTCAACTCTAACTGTCCGGAGTGCAGGGCGCCTATCGAATCTTGCAGACCCTTCTATCCGGAACTGGCTGAACATGATATTTGAAGGACACAGCAGGCGGAGCTGAGATTTAGCCATGCGCTTTTAGTTAGACGGATTTGAAACCTCCTTTATGTTTTTCACATTCTCCTTTCTTTATTCTGGCCCGCTTTCGAGGCTACATTTAAAAGCTAGCTCTAGAATGACTAGACTGGAGACAATCTGCAAAGTTTCTATGTCCGTTTTTTCCAGCGCCACCATTTGTCAATATGTGGTTGTCCGCTCACCGACGCCACCATCTGACTTAATGATATCACAGAAGGCTCTTCTGGATAGTAGTCTGACTTTTTCGGTTCTTCCGGGTCTGGTAGGGACTGATAGTAGTTGTATGTATTGTCTTGCTCTTCTCTATGGCCCAGCTGATGGTCGATCTACCGTACACTCCAATCTTCATCCTATTCACGAGAGTCCTTTCTGGAATTTTCATAGCATCCAAGCTCAAAAGTACGACCCTCATATTTGAACCAGTCTGTGATCATTCCGCGGATGATTCAAGGCACACTTTGCCGTTATGCGGTGCGGAAATATAGCCATCCATCTTCAAGTGGCCATCTCGGACTAGAGCGGACAAATTGGGCAGGAGACGCTCAAGACAGGTAACGTGATAGTATTCGCCTTTTGGCTCTGTGCGTACCCACGTTAGCAAATTTCTATATCTAGTAATGTAAGGGTCATTCTCCATACTTGAGGGCACTGAGATATCTTTTAGCATGAAACGATAATGGGACTTGATAACCGGCTTCCCAGTTCGTTTACGTGGCATACAACGCCATGCTTGGCAATGGCTCATTTTGACTTTGGGAGTCTCTTGGAGAAGAAGGATGAAGTTCCCAGATTTCAAGTCGTCTATAATGTAACGTGATTCTTCCTCACGATCGCGTTGTTTTTTACAGACTCTGTCGTTGGAAGGGACAGCCTCTTCAGCCTGCGATTGGGAAAGATCCATTGTTAAATAGTGTAAAGGTAGTAGGCAGATTTAATGCTAAGCTATATTTGCTGTCGAGGTATGAACTGCCGGAGCGAAAGTAGTTAACGTAATCGGTAAGCGAACCGGCCATGTACCGTCCCTCACCGCCTGATACCTAACCCCACCTGATACCTGATTTTTCTTCAAAACGCGAAAAATCGCGAATATTTCAAACCGCGATAAATCAACCAATATAGCTTCATATGAGCTCGCACTTGTAGCATTACGCTCCTTGGAGCCAGGAGAAAAGCCTAACGTTAGTTTGGTTGCAAGAACATATGGCGTTGATTAATCAAATCTTTCTAAACGTTTTCGCGGTGTTACAGGCTCAAAAGAAGACCAATACAACAAGCAACGATTACTGAACAACGCGCAATCAAGAGCGCTTATAAAATGGATAAATCAACTCACCGAGTGAGGCCTACCATCTAAGGATTCAATGCTCGTCAACTTTGCAAGACAAATATCTGGTAAAGAGCCTGGGAAAAACTGGGCTTCACGCTGGATAAAGGCTCATTCGGATAAAATGATCTCTCGCTATTCTTCAAGCCTCGATTCGGATATGAAAAAGGCAGATGCTTTTTTACAGCCTCGGAGTCAGGATGGACCAATAATGAGCTCGGATATCGCTGGTTGGTGAATGTTTTTGATAAAGAGACAACATCCCAAGCAAGCCGGGGATGGCGCCTTCTTATCCTCGATAGGCATGGATCCCACGTTACAATGAAGTTTATTGAATATTGTGATTCGAATAGGATATTATTGGCAATATTTCCGACACATGCATCGCATACTTTACAGCCTCTTGATGTCGCTATTTTCTCGCCTCTTTCTAACGCTTATACAAAGCAATTGGACGATTTTATAAACGATAGTCAAGGATTTACTCGGCTCACCAAACGTGACTTTTTTCGGCTTTTTCGGGCTAGTTGGAATGAGGTTTTTACAAGCAAGAATATCAACTCAGCGTTCAAGCACACCGGTCTATATTCTTTCAATCCGGAGATTGTTATACAAAAATTTAGCAAGAAAATCGCGAGTCGGCCATTGTCAAGTGAATCTACGGCTTCAATTATTCCTGCTGAGGATTGGAAGCGACTTGAGAAGCTTGTTGAAACAGTTATTACAAATGTTTATGAGCAAAAAGCTGTACAGCTTAAGGATACAGTGCTTCATCTTTCTACTGAGAATATCTTACTTAAAAATGAGAATAAAAGCCTGCAAAGGGCTCTCATAAATGCGAAGAAGCATAAAAACAAGAAAAAGCTTTTATTACTAGGTTTACCTTCAGAACAAGATGGTGGAGCACTTTTTATGAGCCCTACAAAAGTTCAGCAAGCTCGTGGTATTATTTCTCAAAAAAATGACGAAGCCGTGCAGGAGCAGGCTCGTAAAGATGATAAAAAGCTTCGACAACAACTAGCAAAGCAAGCCAAAGAGGCTGAAAAGATTGAAAGAGCTCGAATCCAGCAAGAAAAACGTGAACAGCGCGAGCAAGAGGCTGCGGAAAAGCAACGCGTTAAGAACGAGCAAGAACTAGCTAAGCTCGCTTATTTACAGGTTCAAAAAGACGTTATATCAACTCCCAAGGCCTCAAAACGGCCAACAAAAGCAAGTTTCCATGCAAGCGCAGCCAAAAGCGCATCCTGAGGCTCATTCGGAGGATAATGGGGTGGTTGTTACTACGAATCGTAGGGGCCGCACGATACGACCCCCTGCCCGTTTTCGCGATTAGTTTTTTGCTCGTTCGATCCCTTATATCTCATTTAGTGCTACATCAGAAATTTATTACATTAAATTATTATGTGGTGTTGTAAAGCTTCAAAATATTTTGTATAGTAAGCCGTTGAAATCAGGTATCAGATGGGGTTAGGTATCAGGCGGTGAGGGACGGTAAGCGAACCGGCCACCTCTCCGGAAAATAACTCTCTATATGTGGGTGCATTTGCACTAGTACTAGTACGATAGGATTCCTAACGTGGAATATGGGTTCAATTGAGTAGTCTTAAGTTGTCCCTCTTTTCTATCTTTGACCCCGACGCGTAAGGGATTCCTGGTGTAGCCTTCGTCACGTGATTGAAATCACGTGACGTCAGTTATCCGGATCTCGACTGCATCCTCGCATCCAACACTATATTGATTTACCATATTACCGCGTCAAAATGCCACCAATTCGCAAAAAAGACCCCCTAAAATCCACTCAGGATGAGGGAAAGATCGAATTAGCTATTTCCGATTTAAAAAATGGAAGAATTCACAGTATTCGTGAAGCCGCAAGAATCTATATGGTTGCTCGTACAACTCTTCAAGATCGAATGAAAGGAGTGCCGTATCGACAAATAACACGCGCCAACAAACCATAAATTGAGTCAATCTGAGGAGGAGCTTGTCAAATGGGTGCTTGATTTAACTAAACGTGGATTACCACCCCGGCACTTTCTCGTACGAGATATGGCTAATTATCTTCTCTCACAACATGGAGATCAACGGGTTGGAGATAAATGGGTATATAATCTTGTTCAACGTCGCCCAGAGATTGAATCCAAATTCTCACGAAAATACAACTACGACCGTGCCAAATGTGAAGATCCAAAGATTATACAAGGCCATTTTGACCGCGTACGAGATATAATATCTGAGTACGGCATCTTACCAGAAGATATCTATAATTTTGATGAGACGGGCTTTGCTATGGGACTCTGCGCAACTGCAAAGGTTATTACCGGAAGTGATCGATATGCTCGGCCAAAGCTTCTACAGCCTGGAAATCGAGAATGGGTGACTGCAATTGAGGCAACAAATTCAACCGGATGGGCTCTGCCTTCGTACGTGATTTTCAAAGCAAAGAAAAACGTACGATTAGGCTGGTTTGATGAGCTTCCGGATGATTGGAGAATCAATATTAGCGATAATGGCTGGACTACAGATCAGATAGGATTAGAATGGCTTAAAACCCATTTTATTCCTCTTACTAGTGGTCGTACATTGGGAACATATAGTATGTTGATTCTTGATGGCCATGGAAGCCATTTGACTGCAGAATTTGACCGTACATGTACGGATCATAAGATTATTCCAGTCTGTATGCCTCCTCATTCTTCACATCTCTTACAGCCTCTTGATGTTGGCTGTTTTGCGGTTCTAAAGCGATATTATGGGCAGCTTGTTGAACAACGAATGAGGCTTGGTTTTAATCATATTGACAAAATCGGCTTCTTAACAGCATTCCACAGGCTCGTACA